GGGTGGGGTAGGAGATGCAGCCGCCGGCTGTGCTGACACGCGCCTGAAGCCCTCGAGAGCCCACGGCAGGGGGTGCCTGGCACACCTCCTCCTCAGGAGCACCCGGTGCTTTGCTATGAGGTTCGCTATATTCTTGGGGGCGTGGACCACACCTCATGGTCTCAGGGATCCTCCTGCAGCGCTCAGAGCCGGATCCCACCAAAACCTCCAGCCACACACACAGCAGCCCTTGGTGGGCTCTCGCCCCGGCCCCTAGGGTTGGTTTAGAGTTTGGGGGTACTGTTTGTTTGTGGGCTATACCCGATGTAGGGGGAACTCAGGGCTGATTCCTGGCTCTATTATGCTCAGGGATCACTCCCTTGGCAAGGCTCAAGGGATCTAATGGGATGTTGGGGGTCGAACCCAGGCCGGCCGCATGCAAGGCCAGCTCCCTGCCTGCTACATCCTCTCTCACGCCAGCTTTAGTTCTTTGATTTATTATTATTATTTTATTTCGTTTTTGGTTTAGGGGCCTTTAGGCCACACCCGGCAATACTTAGGGGGTTATTCTTGACTCTGCACTCAGGAATCACTCCTGGTGCTGCTCGAGGGACCGATGCCGGGGATCGAACCCAGGTCGGTTGCATGCAAGGCAAACACCCTCCTCACCGTGCTATCGCACCAGACCCTCCAGTTTTAGTTCTTTTAAAAAGATGCAATTTCCTGTAAGGAGGAGATTCTGTCCACTCATAGACAAGAGTAAAGTCATTTCTTTTGGGGGGCGGGGAGGGCAATGTGGGTACTCCTGACTCTGTGCTCAGGTCAGAGCACAGAGGGCCCCATGGGACGCCGGGGATGGAACTCGGGGTGACCGTATTCCAGCAAGCACCCTCCCCGCTCTATTGCTCTGGCCCCCAGAGAAAACTAATCTGGGCGTGAACGTGTCTGAGCTTTGGGGTCACTGTGCCTCCCTCCCTGAAGAAGCTGCTGTCCGGCTGGTGTGCTCACACCACCCTTCCCTAGGAAACGCCGCATCTGACCGCAACAGACGCCGCCTCGGGCGGCCGCAGGCTGTGAGCAGCGTCAGGGGGACCCGAGTCACACGCCACAGGACCTGACGCTCAGCTGCCCGTGTCAGCGTGTGGAGCCTGGCAGGGCAGAATGAGGCGGCAGTCAGCCCAGCACTCAGAAAGGCCACCCGCGTGAGCCTTCCCCCGTGGCTGTGGTCAAGGCCGGGGATTTCCCTGATGCTGCGCTGAGTGACTACCGGGTCCTGAGGCAACGGGGCAAGGGTCTGCTGACCAGAGCTGAGTGCTCACGCCCGGTGCTCAGACATGTGAGCACAGATGGGGACACAGCCTACCGCCATGGAACTCCATGGCTGGGTTTGCACTCTAGAAGCTGGTTCTGCAGGAAGACCAGGCACAGGGCCGGGCTGCCTTTCCCGAGGACACTGCAGACGCTGGCTGTGAGGCTGCCCCTCCCCCTCCTTCCCTCCGGGAAGCCCTCCAAGACTGTCTGTGAACCACGAAAACTTCCAGCTCATCTGTCTACCTTGGAGCTGCCCTGGGGCCACCCTCACGCCCCCCCACAGAGAAGCACAGGGATGTGGGCACTTGCGGTCACCCTTCCTGGGGCTCCCGGGATGCTGGAACCCAGGGGGAACAGAGGGCGGGGGCCCAGCTCTGCTAACTCGGGGCGTCCGTTTTGTCACCGCCACCAGGTGAGGCTGGGCCGTTTCCGATGTCACCTGCGAACCAGTTTCCTGCTTTTTTTGCTGCCACCCACGAGAAAAGGGCTGGGCTGCCTCCTCTGTCCTCATCCAGCAGGACACAACCCAGGTGGAGGGCGGTGGGCGGGGGACGCGAGTGTCCGGGGAAGCCACGGGCCACGCTGGTCGGGCTGGAGAACAGGCACAAGCAACTGAAAACAGCCAAACAGAAACGGGGGGAAAATGCAAAGAAAAAAAATTAAGAAAAGAAAAGAAAAGGAAAGGAAAATACTTGAAAGGCGCTTTTTCCATAGGAAAAAAATATTTTATTTTTTTAAGAACAAATTCAGTTTGAAACAGATGTGGAATGTGACTTGATGGATTTCGTCTTTTTTCTGGGGCTGACTGTCATGTGGAACGAAAGCAGATTGAAAACCTATGACAGGCCATTAAAATAAAACAAAGGAAGAAAAAAAAATATTTATAACTCAAGCATAATACTGTGTTACTTACAAATTGGACAACGAAATTTTAAATAAATATTCATGGTACATAATTACGGCACAAATATGCAGCAATTTGGCAACCTTTTATACCATTTTTTTTTCTCATTACAGTGCAAAGGAGGAATGACGCTGCCGGGTTACAAGCTGTAGCTAAATACATTGCAAAATTCAGATTTTATACAAAACATCTCGCTTAGACTTTATAAAAAACCAACATTGCTCTATGTACACAATCTGGGTAAGAAAAGCCATTTCTGTCTTGTTTTCATGTGTATTTTTTTTATTAAAAAGGTGAATAAGGCTACTGTAACACCCCAAATCCATATACAGTAAAATCTGAACCTATTTACAGCATCTCCACTTAAACATTATGGTGCAAATTCCAAAGTCAGGTGACTACGGATGATAATACAAGCAAGGCATTTACAGTAACTTTCCAAAGCTGAACCAACTTCAAAGAAAGGGACAGTTGGTAGATTGTCATCTTCTGCACCAGACACAAAACAGACGCACAGAACACTTTTCCACTGGTCGCGGGTAACGCTTCATCAATTCATCTGATTTTTTTTTTCACAGTTTAGCCCAAATGTGCCCAGAAAGAAGCCAACTGGGGAGACAGAGACTGGAACCCAGGAAAATCAGACCATCCCCCGTTCCCCCACTTCCCAGCCCTCTCTCCCATCCTGAAAGGTCACATTCCTGATGGCTTAACAAGGTCAGCTATGAACTCACAGCAAAGGGGTGGGCTGATGGAGAGAATTCCACGGGGCCCGCGGCCGGTCCCCAAGGCGACAGGGGAGAGAGAGAGATATATAATATATATGGTCGATATATATTATACATAATTGTACACATCTACCGCACACCCACGCACACAGACACACACGCACTTTGGGACCAACAGCACCCCAGGTTCCGGGGGGGAGAGAGAGGCAGCTTTTCTCTGACAACCCATCTTTGTCGGTCTCCGCTGGAGGTCACAGAACCTTTCAGATGCTGTTGCTACAGTTTCCTTTCCTCCCAATTCAGAAAGCAAAGTGTTACCATAGTAACAGGACGATGTTCAAGATGTCTCTTTTGCATAGCACATAAAAAGTAGGTTTCCTGTTTACTCTTGTTTGTTTGTTTGTTTGTTTCCCCAAAGGGAGGTGAGGTGAGGGGCGTGGAGAGAGGTTGGGGGCGGGGGTGAGTGGAGGTGCCTCTACAGCTTGGAGCTGAACCCCCCTGCCCCTGCCCCGGGGATGAGTCTGGGGGGTGGGACCCAGTGAACACTTGAGCCTGCAGGTGGAGAAAGGGAAGGGGGGGGGGAACAAGGAGGGGCGGGCGGAAAACCACAGCAGAGAAAAGGAACGCCAGAACGTCCTGCTGTGGCAGAGGAGATGATGCAGAAACGGGTTTCTTCAGCCGGGCGCGGGCACCACCGAGACGAGACGCGGGCTCAGGGCAGAGTAATCTCTGCGTCCGCTCACTATGGATATTTCTGGAGTGTGGCTGCTTTTCCCAGAAGTTAGCTGTTAGCCAATTTTGATTTTTTTTGTTATTATAATAATAATTAATAAAGCAGGGAGCTGGTTTGGCGGGTTAGGAAATAAATCACTGAGTGGCAGCAAATGAATTTCTCCTCTTCTGGTGTGTCCTGTGTTCAAGCCCATCAGCTACATGGCTAAGACACGTCTTTCCCTCTGTGCCCCGGGCTCTCTGTTTGTCAGTCCTTATAAACACGTCCCAGAGCTCGTTCTGCCCGCCACACTCCTCTCTGCTCTCCCCAGGGCTCCCGGAGGTGGAGGTGGGTTGAAGCTGGCCCTGGGCTCTGCAGCTCAGCCTGCGGGGCCCAGCCCTGCGGCCCATCACCCAGCTGTCTAAGGCTCTAAGGGGGATGGAGGGGGAGAGGGGGAGGTGTGCGTGGGGGGAGGGGCTCCGGCTTCCCCCCAGAGATGAGAATGGGGTCGCTGAGCCCCCCGTGACCACGGGGTTCCAGCCTGTGTGACCTCGGGCTCGCCCGGGGCGGGCCCGTCCGATTTGGCTCTCTGCTCTGTCCCCTCCTTGCTTTTCCCTGTGTTTTCGTAAAACGTGGTAAGTTTAGCAGCTGAATCGGCTTGAAAGCGCGCCCCCAAGCAGACCCACGTCCCCACAGCGTTGGGGCTGTACATCTTATTGCCAGTACCGCAGTGTCCTGCCGGGTGGGGAGGGGGTGCCCTGCGGGTGGGCCCCCAACCGACGACCACCACCATCACCACCACCACCACCCCCATCCCAGCCTCTCCCTCCCCCAGCAAGGCTCTGCACAGGGGATGACGACCGTCTCCCCCAACCCCTGCAATGACAACGACAACGACGACAACAACTACGGAGGATTCCTTCCACGCCCCCCAGCCCACCCTGCGTGGGGAGGGGTCTCCCCATCTCCCGCCTCTTCGCAGGACCAAAGTGCTGTGCCTCCTGGGGGGGATGGGGGTGTCCCCCCCATCCTTCTGGTTCAGAAGAGGCCGACGTGTGTGGAGTGCAGCGACTCTGGTCTCCCTGCACCCAGCCACCTGGCCCCCCGCATCCCTCCGGGAGGCTCCAGCCGGGATGGTGGGCAGCGCAGGGTGGCCAGGAGTGGGTCCGGGTGCGAGGGGGGTCCGGCTCTCCCTGTTGCGCTCTCTTGGCATCCCCCACCCGGGTGTCTCCTCTGTGCAGGCTTCCAGGCCAGGAGGGGCGGGCGCAGGGGGCCGCGGGGAGGGGGGCCCCGGGTCCAGCCCGCACCGGCGGGCAGGCGGGCGGGCGACCGGCCGGCCAGCGGGGAGTCAGTGTCCGGTGGCCGCGCTCAGACCTTGTAGTAGATGTTGGCGGGGCTCTGGGGCGGCATCTCCTGCACGATGTACACAGGGTGGCCGTAGTCGCCGCTGACCTTCTCGTAGTGCGGGCAGAAGACGCTGTCGGCCGGGCGCAGCGGGATGATGATGTCGCTGGGCTCGGAGCCCGTGTTGCCGCCGCCGCCGCGCTTGGGCGTGGCCAGCGTGCTCAGGGACAGCGTGGCCGTGTGCTGCGGCGAGTGCTTGCGCTGCCGCCGCCGATACTTGAGCAGCAGCACCACCAGCGTGATGATGATGACGAGGAAGATGATGCAGCCCGACGCGATGCCGGCGAATAAGGCCACTTCGGAACCGAGCAGGCTGTGCCCCGAACGCCCGGCGCTGCTGCCGTCCGTGCTGGAACCTGCGGGGGGTGGACAGGGGCGTCACGGGAGGCGCCCAGGCTCGGGACCCAGTGCCCAGGTGCCCGCCAGCCCCGCGGCGGGAGGGCGGAATGAGGGCGAACGAAGCCTGTGGGGACCCTGGGCACCACTGCCGTGACCCTGAGAAAAAAGACGAAGGCCGCGGTGGGGTCCCCGCACAGGCCCAGCTGGCCAGTCCCGTTCGGCCCAGGGAAGCGGCTCCTGGGCTCCCATAAGCCGGCCAGGAGGCCAGACGCAGGAGGGGGCGGCTGACGCTGCATGCGGCCTGAGCGTGTCCATCCCACGTGGTCTATACTCGAGCCGTGTCTGGGGGTAGCAGAGGTCGTGGTGGGGCCTAGACTTGCCAGGGGGCATGCAGGGAAGCAGCCCGGCAACGTTGGTGCCCGTTTATCAGTGTGTCCCGGGACCTGACACGTCTCGTCACTGGGAGTGAGAAATAACAATCACCGCCCACCGCCCCATACTCGGGGGAGGCAGGAATGCGAGGCAGGGGCCACCCCGGTGGGCAGGTGGTCTGTCTGTCTGTCTGTCTGCCGATTGCCGCCCCCTCCCCTGGCTCCAGCACCCGAATGCAGAGTCTCAGCTCCCAGGCCGCAAAGCCGATGGAGGGAGATGTCAGCCGCTCGCGGCTCGTGCTCGAAACCTTTGCCAGCGAGCCAGCTCATGTTTGATTTCCCACTGAAAGCTGGGAATGGAGAAACGTTTCCGTGAGAGCTGCCTGAAACCGCCCCCCCCAACCCTCCAGAGCGTCAGCAAGGCCCGATGGGACTCTGTGGTCAGGCCCGCGGGGGGGTAGAGGACATCAGGGGCACCACTGAAGCTGGGTTACATGAGTCTGGGGTTCTGACGCACCCGTCCAAGGGGGACCCCACTACTCTCAAGGCTAAGTGACAAAAAAGCTAACACCAAGTGGGGGGGAGGGGCGCGGGGGAGGGGCGCGAGTCCCCTCCCCAACCCCCCATTTTTTTTCTCCCAGTCTGATGGATGGGGTACTGACACACACGTGCACATGTACACACACGTGCACACACATGTATACACATGCACACACATGCACACATATGTGCGCACATGTACACCGTGTGTACACGCAAGTGTACGCACGCTAATGCATACGTACACACCTATGTACATGTACACATGTGCACCCATGTACACACATGCACATATGCACATACATATGTGCACATACACACATACACTCACGTGTACACAAGCAAATGCACACACCACATGCACACACACACGCTCACTCGCGCGCGCGCGCGCACACACACACACACACACACACACACACACACACACACACACCCAACACCCCTCCCCGGCCCCTCTCTGTACCTGGATTTGGTTTGACGAAGGGACTCGTGGTTGAGCTCCTTCCGTTGGTACCAGCTTCCAGCTCCGGGCGCCTTGTGGGGTCGTTCTTCCTGGCTGACCCAGCAGAACTGGCATCTACGTGGAAAGCATCTGATTACTCACGCTGCCAGCGGGGCCGGAGCTTAGGAGCTGCATCAGCTCCCACAAGAGGTGAGACAGCATGAAAGGTTCTGTATGCAAGTGCTGTGAGGTACACAGATGTGACGCTCCTGACACAATCGGTCATGCTAGTAGCTTCAGAGCTTCCAATGGGGAGGCCGCGGGGGGGAAACGCTAGGGACCCTCGCGGAGGCCTGAGATGACGTTTCTGTGTCACTGAGCGGAGTGACTCCTGACTAACCCGTTTCTCGTGAGGAGGAGGAGGAGGATTCTTTCGGTTACAATATAGGTTGGATCTGCTGGGGGAAAGGCTCAACAAAGCACACACACACACATAAAAAAAAAAAATGTCTTCTGTCGCCAGGATGCAGAAGGAAGCAAAACTGCCACAGGAGGGCCGGATGTCCTCCTGGAGATGTGCATTTGGAACCAGAGGAGTTTTGCTTTTAAGAAGAAAATCACGTGTGTGTGTGTGTGTGTGTGTGTGTGTGTGTGTATGTGTCACAGAGAGTGGGAAGACACAGTGGACCTGACTACCCTCAACTCTGAGTGGCCTCTCCAAACTCAAGGTGTGGACAAACGTGCCGTGTCTTGACTAAGGCACAGAGAGAGTGTGTGTGTGTGTGTGTGTGTGTGTGTGTGTGTGTGTGTGCATGCGTGCGTGTGGAGGCCATGGGACGCGGGGCCTGCCGGGCAGCTTGTGAGCGGCGGGTGGTCTTTACCTTGTCCAACCTTCATGAGGATCTTCATGGCTCGTGTCTGGCACACCCCTCCCTCCTGGTTATCCAGGCCCTCCAAAGACCCATTTGATGTAGCTGATCGAAAATAAAATGGACAAAACAAAAAAATAAAGAAAAATCAGGAACTCAATAAAGCCAAGTTTACATGAACATGAAATGTCTGAAAACAATTTGGAAAATAAGAACTCCCCCTTCGTCCCGAGTCTTATGAAAGCATGGGGCTCAACGCCAAAAGAAGAGAAACAAAAAGAAAGAGAGATGGCCGCGGCTGAAGGCTGCCGCCCGCCCTATAGCCCACTCGGGGGGTCCCGGCCTCCGGGGCGCCGACTGTCTCAGGGCCCGACTCAGGAGAGCACAACAACCTACGTGGTCACCGCGCGACGTGCCAATCGCCCCGCAACACCTGCTTCCTCTAGTACAGATTTCCTGCCTCAAGAACAATTAGCTCGATGGGCCTGTTTGTCAAGCGTCCAAGTTCTGTAAACACCGAGAGATTCCCAGACCCCCGTGCCCGGTTCCCAGCCTATTGTGTGCCTGGGACGGCCCTGGTACCCGGGTCCTCATGGGCCTGGCTGCCCGTCTCTCTCATGGACTGGGTTCCATACTGCTGGCCCCTGGGCACCCAGGGAGGCCTGGGGTGAGGTCACCACCTTCTTGACACCCCGTGTGGAGAGGGGGAGGGGGAATATTTGAAACCGCCAACAAGACTCGATTCTCTGTGAGTAACCCCCTGCTGTACTGTGTTGGGATAGCAAGCTCTCAGAGTGGCTGTACAGCGAAAGCCGTAGGAAGACAGACGGACAAGGAAGCTGGAGTGATAGCACAGTGCATAGGACGTCTGCCTGGCGCACGGCCGGCCCCGGCATCCCTTATGGTCCCCCGCCCCGAGCACCATAAGGAGTAATTCCTGAGTGCAGAACCAGGAGTGACTTCTGAGCATTGCTGGGTGTGACCCAAAAAGCACAGACACACACACAAAAAAAAAGGCAGAAAAAGGCCAGAGAGAGTACTGTGGGGAGGGCGCTTGCCTTACACACAGCCGACCCGGGTTCGATCCCTGGCACAGATGTTCCCCAGCACTGCTAGGAGGGTTCCCCTAGAACAGAGCCAGGAGTGCCTCCTGTCCCCTCCCCCAAGAGACGGATGGCCCAGCCACTTGGCAGATGAACCAACCGGCCTGGACACAGGGCCCTGAGACCTGGCTCTCTGCTGGAGTGAGGCCGGGTGCCAGGGGCGGGCTCTGAAGAGACACTGACTTTCTGGCCGCAAGAAATCCCAGAGACATTCTTCACCTGGGTTGTTTGTTTTCCGACAAGTTCTGCAGGCATGTAGAGGAACACGCCAGCCGCGGGGGCGGTCCCGGGAGGCGGGGAGGCGCGCAGGGACTTGTCCCCCTGCGAGGTGAGTGACGGACTCTTACTTTCCCCGGGCGCCCGGGAGAACAATGGCTCGGCGGTGGCGGGTATAAATATCTCTGCTTATCTCCACGCTTCCTGTGCGGCCGCACAATCCTATCTCCTGTCCCGCCACTGCTGACTCCGAGTTTCTCCTGGGAAACTGGGCAAGATGGCCACAATAAATCACGGCGATGGTTATTTGGGGAAGCAGTCCGCGGGGCGCTCTTGGGGGCACCTGGGGGACGTTTGGCAGTGACGCTCGAGCAAATGCCCAACGGTTTGCTCCTCTGCGTCGTGAAGAATCATCTCTGTCCCCATCCCTCATCTCTGCTGCCCCCACACGACGTGCCGCCCCCCAGAGCTATTCCTACCATCTCTGCCTCGTCACTTAGGGGTTCTCTCTCCTTTGGTCTTGGCCCAACCGTTAGGAACGTGTCTTTATTGGATCCGTGTTTTCTGCCTCTCCTGAGACGAACGCTCTGAAGGGACTTCCTTCAGGCTCCCAGCTCGAGGCTGACACATGCAAATACTACCATGTGGAGGGTGGTTCGAGGGAAACAGAAACAGGGTGGGTGGAACCCAGATTTGTTTGTTTTTGTCTCAAGGAAACAAGGTCAAAGGTTTAGATCTAAAAGAAAACCATGAACCGTTGAACTCTGGAAAGGCTGAGACAGCCTGGGAGAAAAGAGACATGGAGGGGTCTCACGGGGGTGGGGGTGGGGCTGACACCCACCCCCACCAACTGGGGGCATGGTAGGGGCTTCCTGCCCACTAAGGCCAGCGCAGGGCTGCCCTGAGCTGGATGGTATTAGGTCCTAATACATACTTGCGTGCACACACACATCCACATGTATGTGCACAAACACGCACACATACCCACACACACACATATGTATGCACACACATATACACACGCACGCACACATGCACACACTAACACACATGCACACACGTGCATACACACATGCACACACATATACACACGCACGTGCACGCGCACATACACACACTAACACATGCACACATATGCACACGCACACACATACGCACACACATACACACCTGTGTCTGCATACACACATGTGCATGCACACACACGTACACACACACGCACACACGCACACACGCACGCACACACGCACACACACACACACACATTCCAGTGGCACAGAGTCCTGAATATATCCCAGTCGATCCCTTTCCCTGATGTGCCAGGGCAGAGAGTGAGACAGTGCGGGGACCCGCAGTTCCGAGGCACTCCTGGCTTGCAGAGGCCCCAGCTTCTCTCTGCAGCTCTTAGGGAGGAGGAGCCTGTGGCTGGAGGGAGGAGTCCCAGGGTGCTGGGCTCTGCCTCCCAGCCCCTGGCCCCCCGGAGGTGCCCAGAAAGGCCTTCCTGAAGAGTACCCAAACACTGTGGGAGGCTGGTCACTGCAACTCCAGTCTGCCGAGGTGGGGAGGGTCCCCGAATCAGAAACGGGGGCAGCTGCTGCAAAAAGCCCTGCTGAAGAGGTGGACAGTGGGGCCAAAGCAAAAGGACAGAGGCTGGGCCCTGGTGCTGCACGCAGCCAATTCAGGTTTGGTCCCCGGTATCCCATACAGGTCCCTGTGCACGGCCGGGGGTGAGTCCTGAGTGCAGAGCCAGGAGGAAGCCCTGAGTACCGCCGGGTCTGACCCAAACGGGTGAGTACCAAATGCGGAGCCAGGAGTGACCCCTCAGTACTGCCAGGTATGACCCAAGCAGGGGTGCGTCCTGAGGGCAGAGCCAAGAGTAAGCCCTGAGGACCACCGCTGGATGTGACCCAAAAAGCAACAACAACAAACAAACAAACAAAAAATAATAATAACAAGATGAGCAGAGTCCAAAGGCAAACTTCAGAGGGAAACTCCCTAGCAGGTGGCTTCAGGACCAGCCCTGCAGAAGCCACAGCACAGAGAATCCGGGATTTGTTTTTTTTTGTTGTTTGTTTTTTGAGCTTCAGGCTGTTTTTTTTTTTCTTTTTGGGTCACACCCAGCGATGCACAGGGGGTTCCTCCTGGATCTGCACTCAGGAGTTACTCCTGGCAGTGCTCGGGGGACCATATGGGATGCTGGGAATCGAACCCGGGTCGGCCGTGTGCAAGGCAAAGGCCCCTCCCCAGTTCCCCAGGATTCGTTTTTAACACACTCGGTCTATTAACACAACAAAGAGATTTGGGCCCAGGTTACTCAACCATCTCATCCATCTTCTTGCCCTATTCTGGTCACCATGTCCGGGGAGCTGACCCCCGGTCTGGTTTCTTGGGGCAGCTCGCTGTCCTACGCGACCCCTCACAGACGCACGCAGATTCAGGAAAATGAAGGGAACGACACGGATTCCACCCAAGAAACACGCAAAGTCACGGCGTGACATTGAAACAGATGCGACGCCAAATGAGTGTCTGTTCCCAGCAGGCCCTCGGCAGTGCGGAGAGTGACTCAAAGCAACAACACTCCGCCGGATGATATGGAAGTTTAAAAAAAGGAGGCTCATAAATGCCATTACTTAATGAGAACCTGCAACCCCAGGAAGCGAAGACGATCTATCTTCTTCGCACCCTGGCACCGATTCAAACTCAAAAATAGATGATGCCAATTCAAAATACATTCTGCAGAAAGAGCGACTCAGTGTCACCCTTGACGGTACTAACCAAGGCAGGAAATTCTAAGCACAATTGTCTGCCGAGCGGCAGATGGGTGCTTTCTGCATCCATCACTTCTGCGATTAGTAAAAAACCTCAGACACACAAACGTCTACTTGAGCCAAAGGAAGAAGGAGGAAACTCTCTGCTTCCAGTTTCTCGCTGGGCTCCGAGCTCTCCCGGGTGGCACCTCAAAAAGCAGCCCCCGCCTTCCCAAGGCCGCACTGCTTCTCTTGGGCATCCTATCCGATTTCGCTCCGTTTTAGCTCGAATCAAGTGGCATGGATGTCAGCCCTCGCGCCATCTACGCTGCGACCTGGGGGAGTTATCTTTCACATCTGAGGAAATCAAACCCTCCGTCTGAGCAGAGGCCCCGGAACCCTAATCCTCCGGCTCTGGCTCTCTTGGAGCTTTGAACACGCCAAGCATTCACGGGGGGGGGGGGGGGGGGGGGGAGGAGAAGTGGGGGAAGTGGCGGCTTCCACACACCACCCTGGGGGGCTCTGCTCACCACGCTGATTCGGGAAAATGAACACAAGAGCCCAGAACACCTTCTTGCCCGCGTTCCAGCTTGGAAACTGGAGTAAGGGCAGCAGGTGGGAGCAACTGTGGTGGTCCTGAGCACGGCAAGACCCTGGTCCCCGTTCCCAACGCTCATCATGATCAAGGACAGACCCTTCTCCAGAGGCACAGAGATAAGCGCTTACTGAAAATGCAACACACTTTGGGGCCAGAGCGATAGTAGAGCTGGGAGGGCATTTGTCTTGCAGGTACCTGACCTGGGTTTGATCCCCGGCATCCCATAAGCCCCATTAGGAGTAATTCTGCAGTGCAGAGCCAGGGAGTCAGTCCTGAGCATTGCCGGGTGTGAGAAAGAAAGAAAGAAAGAAAGAAAGAAAGAAAGAAAGAAAGAAAGAAAGAAAGGAAGGAAGAAAAAGAGCGAGCAACACACTTGAAAACACAGCCAAGTTCACCCTCCAAGGCTGAGTGCTTCTTGGGCTTGGCTAACTCTCCATGGGT